AGGCTTAACTCAGATACCACTCCTACCATTTGCCAGTGTTCTCCGTCTCCCTAGAAATTATGTTGTATTTGTTTCCTTAGAGAATTAGAGATTTATATTTAGAGGGGACCTACATTTCAGAGATGAGGAAACTGAGACCCCAAGATGTAAAGTGATTTGCCCCTGAGTCACAGCAAGTGTCTGAGGCAAGATCTGAACCCAGGTCTTTCTGGCTTCAAGTCGGGCACCTTACCTACTGAACAAGGCTGCCTCTCACTATACGATTGTGTATATGTTGTTTCCCTCCTGTGGAATGTAATCTTGAGGACAGAGTCTATCTTTTGTGCCTGTATCCTATCACCTAGCACACAGTAGAACTTCAAGAAATGCTTGTTGAATGACTAACTGACGAAATAAGAAGTCAACTCCTACCTAGCTATGTGGCCCTAGGCAAGTCACTTAACCCCGAGCTTCCTCTGACCATCCAGGGAGGAAGAGAAATGGGGTCATCTGGTCACACTCTCCGCCTGTTAGAACCAGATCTCCAGAAATGGTGAGGCGCAAACACCCAACCAGTACCGTAATCCAACCTGTCCCAGCCTTGTTTCAGACCATTCCAAGACTGGCCATTTCTGCAAATTTTTTACTATTCTAAGAGCAAAGGAATGTCATGAGAGGGATTTCTATAACTGTCCAAACTGGCCGGCAATTTCCAAACTCTCTTTATTCTGAGCCCTAGAAATCTGAACTATTCCCAAAGCATTTACCTGCCCTTCTTTCCATGACATTTTTGCTTAGTGAGAAAATACCTGTTTTCAATGGCATAAAAACACATTCTGACTTTTTGAAACCTCTCCCTAATCTTTACCCAACATGTCATCTCTGTCACTACTTGGGCCTGGACTCTGGGGAGGCCAAAGCTAACTTTCCTCACACTCGCACAAGGTTCTTTTAAACTGCTGTGGGCAAATCCTTCCCTAAGCCTCAGTTCCCTTATCTGAAAAAATAATAACAGCAAGCATTTATATGATACTTTAACGTCCACAAAGAGCCTTACAAATAGTATCTCATTTTATCCTCACATCAACCATGGGCGGTAGATACTATATTATCACCCCCATTTTACAGATGAGGAAACTGATGCAGGTCAGGAGTCACATGATTTGCTCAGGGTCACAAGCTAATAAGAATCTCATACCAGATTTGAACTCTGGTCTCCTTGACTCCAGGCTCTTTCTAGTTTTCTTCTCTCCCAAGTCAAGCTGGAGTAGGCATGAGAGATCATCATTTCACACATAAAACAGTCTTCATTGTGCAATGGAAAACATACTAACTCAATCCCACTTCTCATGGTGCCATTTGCTTGACCTATCTGGGCTCAGTTTCCTCATCTGTAAAATGAGGAAGGTCGGCCTCCCTCTATGGCCTAGAAGCCTAGCGAGGGGGCCAGAGCCAGGGTCCCCTCGGTCCATTGCTCTAAATTCTAGGATCCCAACAAAAGCTCAGAGTCCAGCCAGACAAGAGGAGGCTTTAGAGTCGAGACCAATGAAACCAGGAGCCCGGAGGCCTCTCTGCCACTAAGGTCACTGGGTCACCTCTGCCCTTCAGTCTCACCTGTAAAGCATAATACTCTCTTGGGCCCTATCCAGCCATGAAATGATATGAGCCTAACTGTGGCTAAGCTTATTTCCAGCCCCTGTGGCTGTCCTGAAAAGCTCTCCCAGGGAGGAAAAGGCCATCTGGCTGAGACATCTGTCACCCTGATGACTGCCAGAGCGCTCTTGTTGGAATTGATCTGCTCACTGGACCCGGCTCCTCTTCCCCCCTTCCCCCACGTACTAGAAAGAAGGTCTAGAGAGAATGGGACTGGATTCATCCAGGAGGCAAAAGCCATGGGCTGGCCTTGTGGCTGGGCCACTCATGGACTGGGTAACTCTGGGCAAACTCCTTAATCTCTCTGAGCCTCAGCTCCCCCATCTGTAAAATGGGAAGAGAAATATTCACACTGCCTGCCTCATAAGGCAGTACTGAGGAAAACACTTGGTAGATTGTGAAGTGCTCAATAATAATGTAATTGCTTACATTTGTATATACATATATATATATAATATATATATATATACACATACTCTTACGTATACATACATACATGTATATGTGTGTGTGTGTATATACACATATATATATACACACACACACACATATAAATAAATAATCTCATTCGATATTATGCTAAAGATGCATGACCTATTGTTATCATTCATGCTGAGGACTCACACCTTTCCCCAAAAGAGTCAATAAACAAACGTTTATTAAACACCTCCTATGTGCCATGCACTGTTGTCAGGCCCAGGAGATACAAACAAACATTAAACGCTCCCTACCTTCAAGGGGATGAAGAAATAAGGAATAGTTAGCATTTACAAATGACTGTAATTTTTCAAAAGACTTTAGCAATATTATTTTATTCACAACAACCCTGGGGTATAGGTGCTGTTATTATCCCCGTTTTAAAGGGAAACTGGGTCAGATAGCAATTAAGTGACTTGCCCAGGGTCACCCAGCTAGTAAGTGGGGAGGCTGGATTTGAACTCTGGTCTTTCTGACTCCAGGGCCTGCGATCTGTGCATTCTGGCGCCCCCTCGAAGTCTGAACTAAGATGACAGAAGACATTCTCTATACCTCCAGGGCCAGTCTAGGTTTATCGAGGTACAATCCAGTATCTGCCCAGAGGTCTGTAGGGTAACCTACTTTTGCCAGCAAGGAGGCCTGGAATAGCATCGGCCTGCTCCCTTGGTTTAGAAATCTGGCATCAGGGGAGCTCTGCTGGCTCGCTTCATGGTCCACCAAACAACCCCGAGCCCTGTTCTCTTTTCCAAATAAAGGCAAACACCGACAACAAGGCTTTTTTCTACGAATATCCATCTGGCCTAATGGTGGGTCTGGCCATTCATGAAAGGAGAAGGCTATGTCCTCGGACCAGGAGACAGAGAAAAAGATGCTGGATTAAAAAAGATAAAAAAGCTTTGAAACAAACTTTGTGTAGGGTTTGAAACAAGCCCAAAACAATTGGGGAAGGGATGAAAAGACTGTGGTATTATGAATATTCCATGTCCCTTTCTTGGCCAATTCTCACCCCACCTCCTCCAGCTTGAAATTACTTTGTATATAGCCTGAGGGACAGCTCGGTAGCGCCATAGTGCACACAGCCCCAGATCTGGAGACAGAAAGACTCTTCCCTGAGATCAAATCCAGCCTCAGGTACTTACTAGCTGTGTGACCCTGGGCAAGTCACTTACTCCCGTTTGCCTCAGTTTCCTCATCTGTAAAACAAGCTGGAGAAGGAAATGGCAAACCACTCCAGTATCTTTGCCAGGAAAACTTCAATATGGGGTCACAGAGAGTCGGGCACAACTGAAATGACTGAAAACAACAATGCAGGAGGTAGACTGGGAGAGCTAGAGTCCCAGGTCCTCCCTCCCAGAGGGCCTCAGTATACTCATCTATAAAAAGGGTTGGACTAGATCAGGGTAGGAGAACCTGCAGCCTCAAGGCCACATGTGGCCCTCTAGGTCCTCAAGTGCATCCCTTTGAATCCAAACTTCACAGAACAAATCCCCTTAATAAAAGGATTTATTCTGTAAAACTAGAAGTGACCTCGTGGCTGCAGGTTCCTCACCCCTGGCCTAGATGGTGTCTAAGGTTTCTTCCAGCACCAGATCTATGATCCTATGAGAATTTCAATTGATCTACCCAACCTTTCTTTAAAAATCATGGGTTTGAGTTCCCCAAAACTAATGGATACTTAGGAGCCAATGCAGCACATGGTGTTATAAACACAGAAGCCAGTCCAGGGAGTGTGGTGCAGTGGAAAGCAGTGGAGACGCTGCATTTGAATCTCAGCTCTGACCTGAACCCTAGAGGACCTTCATCTCTAGGTACTTCATTTCTCTGAATCTCAGTTTTTCCATCTGTACAAAAGGGATAATACCTTCACTAATTGCTGTGTGGCCTTGGGCTAGTCACTTCTCCAGGAGCTTCAGTTTGCCTCTAAAACAGGATTAAGGATGCTTCCTGAAATCACCCCCATTATCTCCAGATAACTCTAGGACTATTCTCCTGTTTACCTTGTCTGGATCTCCTTTGTAAGTGGTTGTTTTCTTTTTTTAAACAAATTCTTTTTTATTTAATTTTTTATTTAATTTTTTTTAGGCAATTGGGGTTAAGTGACTTGCCCAGGGTCACACAGCTAGTAAGTGTGTCAAGTGTTTGGTCTGAGGCTGGATTTGAACTCGGGTCCTCCCCACTCAAAGGCCGGTGCTCTGTCCACTGTGCCACCTAGCTGTCCCTGTAAGTGGTTGTTTGCTGGTTGACTCTTCCATAGACTGTAAGCTCCTAGAGGGCAGGGACTCCCTTTGCCTTTCTTTGTATGTCCAGTACTTAGCACAGTGCCTGGCACACAGTAGGTGCCACATAAGTGCTCATTCCCTTCCCCTTCCTTCCCTGATAAGGGCTCACTGTCTCGACTTCCACTTGCTGTGTTCCTAGGCTAGACCCTTCCCCTAAAGTCACCTTCGACTCCCCTGGTCTATACCACAGGGTTAGTAATACTGGGAGCTTAAACTCCTCTAACTTCCTGATCCTAAGCTTCTTTCTCCTGCAGTCCTTGACATGAGGATGATGACGATATGTGTACTACCCACCTAGCAAGGCCCAAAACGAGAATCAAAACGCTCAGTGCATTTCCATCAGAAAGAACATGGAGATGTAAGTTAATACGAACATGAAAGCCCCTTGAAATCCCTGGCCATCATCTTAAGCTGTCCCAAGCAGAACATTTCTCCCTCCCGTTGTTAGTGTTCCCAGTGGAGGGAAAAGAACAGTAGTGCCTGTCTCCATGCTGCCACCCATTCCTGTTTCACAGGGATTCTCCTTTGGGGCCCCACGGCCATCCAGAACGTGCCAGCCCTTTGTCCTGTACCAGTCGGGCCCCAGAGAGACCCGGGACCAAGGGGTCTTACCTGTGCTGTGAAGAAGGCTGGAGTGAGAGATCCCGAGGGAAGGGCTGGGCTGTTGAGGGCAATAGAGCCAATGTCGTTGCTGGACAGGACCAGCGGCGGGGCTGAGATTTCCAGACCTTTGGGTTTTTTAGCCTTTGGGGGGAGAGATGGCGATTTCGTCTTGGAGCCCGAGGAGAGGTTCAGAGGCTCCAGGGAGTCCGAATCCCGGCAGCTGGACTCTAGGAAGAGACCTCTGGGCTCCGACGGGAGCGGGGAGGCCGGGGACAGGGAAGGGGACCGAGAGGAGCTTGGGGAGGCGGAGGAAACGCTGGCTGCGCCGGGCAACATTAAGGAGGAGATTTTCGCGGAGACCGAGGAGGTCAAAAAGGCCGAGGCGGCCGCGGCCTCCGAGGTGGACGGCAGAGACACCACGGGCCTCAGGATGGCTTTCTCTGTCTTATTGGTCACAAACCTGATGACCGTCCTGACCTCGTCCACCGGAGGGGCGCCCGCGTCCAGCGGCTCCTCCAGCTTCTCCACTTTAATGGGCTTCAACGTGTCCGGCTGGTTCTGGAGGGAGTTGATGGTGAAGGACGAGTAGAGGCCCGAGTGGATGTACTCGTTCCGGCTGGCGCTCTTGAGGGCCGCCAGGCTGTGCTTGTGCGGGTCGCGGCCCTCCGAGGGCACTTTGCAGTCGCCGTCCGGCAGCAGCAGGCTCTCCCGGCTCAGCTCCACCGCGTGGGGGTCCATCTTGAGGATCTCGGGGAAGGAGACAAACTTGTACACGAACTTCTGGCCAATCACCTTCTTGATGATGTTCTGTGGACACAAGACGGGAGGGTGGAAGCGTCAGTACAAGAAAGCGGGCGCAGCAGAAGCGACGGCAGGCCCCCCGTGGGGGGCAGGCCCGCGGGGGCCGTGGGGGCAGGCCCGCGGGGGCAGGCCACGAGGTCAGCCCACGTCAGCCCCTGTCCACTTCTCATGGTGCTGCCTGGGCCTAAGGGGAGAGGAAAGGAGGAAGGCAGAAAAGGAAGCCAGGGAAGAGAAGGGAAAGGGAGAATCAAATCAAATTCTCTTCTATGGAACATTTAAAGCAAATATGTAAATCTATAAAATTAACATCTTTTAAAAAAAAAAATTCCTGCTAATTCTTAGAGCTGGAATTCAAAAGCATTAGGATTGAGCCCCAGTTAGCAGTCCCCCCAGGGTTACTTCTGTTCACTGTCAGTATCTTGGGCTCTAACACACATTTCCACCAACTTAACTCCATTGACTCCACCTGACCTCATCCTCACACTTATGCTAAACTGATGCCAAAAACAACTTGCAAAACCTCATGGCCAGCATAAGCTAAAAATGCCCCCAGGCCTCATGGCCAAAGGTTTGTAGCACTCTTCACGGGAATTTGTAGGTCACTACCTCAGGGGCAGGGGCAGCAAGGTGGCAAAGTGAAAAGAGTGCCAGCCCTGGAGTCGGGAAGGCCTAGGTTCAAATCTGGCCTCAGACACTTCCTAGCTGGGTGACCCTGGGCAAGTCACTTCACCCTGTTTTGCCTCAGGTTCCTCGTCTGTAAAATGAGCTAGAGAAGGAAATGGCAAACCACTCCAGGATCTCTACTAAGAAAACCCCAAATGGGGTCAGGAAGAGTTGTATATGACTGAATACAACTAAATAACAATAACCACCCCCCTCAGGGGCATCCTTTATTCTTTATAGGAACATAGGTTTCAAGCTGAAAGCAAGTAGCTTAATATGGAGGATCTTAAATCCAAGTTGAAAGGGGCATTTACAGATTGTCTAATCCAAGCCTCTCATTTTACAGATGAGCAAACTGAAACCCATAGGTCAGCAAACATCTATTAAGTACCTACTGTGTGCCAAGCACCATGCTAAGTGCTAGGGATACAAAGAACATTTAAAAAAAAAGGATCCCACAGTTTAATGGAATCTAATAGACTAGTGTAATGACTCGTGGGGGATCATAGGGCAGTAAGGAGAAGTGCTGGACTCTGAACACTGCCTGTCCAGGTGCTGGGCAGACTCAGTTTCTCTTCTAGCTTCATTTACACATAGAGACAGAGTGGTGTGATGGATAGCATTCTGGACCCAAATCCTGCTTCAGGTACTTACTAGCTGGGCCAGTTACTCAACCACCCTAAGCCTCAGTTTCCTCATCTATAAAATGAGAGCATTAGACTAAAGGACCTCAAAGACCCCTTCAAGCACAAAATCTATGAACCTGTGACTTAGTGTTTTTGTTGTTCAGTCATTTCATTCGTGTCCAGCTCTTTGTGACCCCATTTGGGATTTCCTAGGTTGAGATACTGGAGTGTACAATTAGTCTGAGTGACAAAGGGAAACTCAATCAAAAAATGTAAATTAGAAAAATTAAGAAATAAGAAATGTGAAGCATTCAAAGAAACTTGAGAAGACTTGAGTGAACTGATGCAGAGTAAACAGAACAGAACCAGAAGAATTTACGCACTGACCACAATCAAGGAAAACAAAACTATCATGTGCCCAATCATGACTTCATGCTTCCCCACTCCTGGAAGAGATTAGGGAGAACAGCATGTTCCCAATTTTCAGAAAGAGCCAAGGAGTACCAACTCTTAGCTTGATTATGTTCATTTGTTATGAAAGAGGGTTTCTGTTTCAGAGGAGGTAGGTGAGTAGTGGGTAAGGACAGAGATCTCAAGAAAGTTAAAAAGAACATCAATGGAACACTTAAAAACTCACAGAAGAAAGGAGAGGCTTAAATGATAGAAACAAAGCAACTTTGTTACTACCTTAAATGGATTACATACTTTTACAAAAATAAACTGTAACAGGATTCATGATTTCATATAAAATTCCCTTTTTTTCTGCTTCTTTTTATATTGAAAAGTTGGTTTCTGTTGAAGATTATATTCATTAACAACAACAACAAAAAGATAGAAAAAGAAAAGGCTTTCAAATGGGAAAATGGGGTGGATGGTGGAAGCTTCCACCATAAATAACCACAAGGTCAGGACCTAAAGATGTGAAGTGGAGTCAGGAGACAGGGGAGCTCACCGGTCGCCTGGAATATTTCATACCAATGAATAAGGGGATGCATGCTTTTTGTTGCCTGGCAACCTGGCAAGAGGTCACCTATAGCCAGCTCCACTAAGTAGCTGCTCGCCATGGTTTCAGGACGATCAAATGCATCTGTTCTACCTGGTAGGCATTGAATCAGCTCATTTCTAATTCCCCATTAAATTTTGATTCACAAGAAATGGCTGGCCTGTGTGTATGGGTATTTAATAGGAGAGAGAATAATGGAATTGGAGATGGGGTACAATTATGGCGCCAGAGGAAATGAAAATTCAACCCAAAGGAAATACACTTCACTCTGGGGTGGGAAAGCTAATGATGTCTTTGGAATATCACTTCAACTAAAGGTTTTAGATCGAAACCCCCTAGTGAAAAGGACCTATACTCTGCATGATTATGCATGCAGGAAGATGCCAGCAGAATCCTTCACACCATTAATAACAAGGCAGTCCTTTCCCCTTCCCCCCATTAATACCCATGTGCATTTCTGTTGCCTTATAAGTGTGTTCTAAGGTTATTTCATAGAATCAAAGAACCTTAGGGTTGAAAAAGACTCCATAGTTGGAAAAAAAAAAAGACTCCATGGGTTGCCTCCTACGACTCCTATTGGACACATGAATCCTCATTTCTTCCACTAAATATATCCCAAAGAGTAGGAGACCCACCTTCCATTTCCCTTGCAATTCCCCCTTTTGCCCCCACCTCATCTCATCTTCCTACCCACCTCTTCCCCACACCCCATTGTCCTATATCCAGTACTGAACAGGTACTATAAAGATTCTGATGACAGTTGTGAATTGGTCCAATTCTTTTGGAATGCAGTTCAGAATTATGCCCCAAAAGTCACCAAACTGTGCATACCCTTTGACCTAGCTACACCACTACTAATTCAAGATCCCAAAGAGATCAAAGAAAAGGACCCAGATATACAACAATATTTCTAACAGTTCTCTTTGTTGTAACAAAGAACTGGGAGTGCCCTCTTGGAGAACGGCTGAAAAAATTATGTAATATGAATATAATGGAATATTACTGACCATAAGAAATGATAAAAGCTGTGATTTCAGAGAAACCTGGAAAGACTTGTGTGAACTGATGAAGAATTACATGAGCAGGAGCAGGAAAACAATTTATACAATCAGAACACTATTAAGGCAAACAGCTCTGAAAGACTCAAGAACTCTGATCAATTCAATGACCAGCCAGGATTCCAAAGGACCCATGATAAAGTATTCTATCCATACCTTCTGAAAAAGAAGTGATGGATTGAAGATAAAGAGTGAGACAAACATTTTTGGAGAGGGCCAACAAAGGAACCATGTTTTGTGTAACCATGAATATTTGTTACTAGGACTTTGTCAGCTCCTGGAGTGTGGTAGTTGTTTAATCGTGTCCAACTCTGTGTAACTCTATTCTGGGGTTTTCTTGGCAAAGACACTAGAGCAGTTTGCCATGTCTTTCTTCAGCTCATTTTACAGATGAGGAAACTGAGACAAACAAGGTGAAGTGACTGAGGCCAGATCTGAACTCATGAACATGAGTCTTCCTGATTCCAAGCCCAGTGCTCTATCCAATACTAACTTTGTGACTATAAGTGACAGAAAAAGTTCTGCCCTGCATTGGTAGATGGAATTTCCTCGCCCGAAAGTTCCCTAAACTAACAATACCATGAGTCTTGTCCCTGTTCCCGATACTGTTATTATTCACTCTTGTTCATATTTACTATTGTTAATATGGAGCTTTTTAGAGATTGCTCATTTGTTCTTTTTAATTATTTTAGCAAAAACTTCTAGAAAACACGCTCAGGCATTTAGTAGGCATACTGACGTCTGCTTTAGACATGTCTGATGAACTGGGCAAACATGGTATTTTATTCAGTTGGAACTAGACAAGAAATAGAGGTGAAGTACCCAGCATATCACTCCTGACATGACCAACACTTGACTCTCACTATGGAGAAATCCCCAAACAGTCAAAATTAATTAAATGACATTACTTGGTGGGGGAGGGGGGCTTCAGGTGTGAGCAATACTGGAGCACCAACCCTGACCTTTGGTTAGATTGCCATTATGGTTTACAACACAGGAGCCTCACGGCACACCCTATAAAGTGATGCATACACTAGCCAGATGCACCAGCTGATTGTGTATGTGTGTGTGTGTGTGTGTGTGTGTGTGTGTGTGTGTGTGTGTGTGT